AGAATGTGCCATTAGTGCTGGCCTTGAAGGAAAATGATTTAGACCTACAGGGATGGTGGGGGCTGGGGGGATTCTAGGGAAAAGGAGCAGCAGAGATGGGATTCCCAGAGATAGGATTCTAGGGAGAAGAGAAACAGGCTCATTTTTCCTGGAACACAGTAGTGTGCATGTGGGGTAAGAATGAGGAACAGGTTGCCAAAAGAGGCTGTGGTCGGACTGTGTAACAGACATTGGATACTATATTAGGAATAGGCACTTGAGAATCTGAGTAAAAGAGTAACATGACCAGAACTGGCTAACCTGGTGCTAATCCTGGAGCTAAAAGATTGGGGTCATTGAAGAACATTAGGAAACTTATAATTGAATAGCTGCAAGGGGCTCCAGCATACCCTATGCTCTATACATGTTAAAGGGCTAATCTATGAATTGTGGGGAAGGCTGCATCTCAGCAGCTCTTTGATTAGACCAAAGGCTGAAGGTTACATTGTGGGCCACTTGATGCTGAACTGCAGAGCATGGAAGGGGAATCATTGTCCATTAGACTCTTACGCTGCTCTGAGTTGACACAGAATCAGCGAACCTCCAGATGCCAACATTGCATTAAAGCACTCTCTTTGCAGAGCCCCACACAGCCAGGCACTGGGGGCTCAGTCAGAGGGAAGCAGAGACTCACCATGTCTCCTGATCCATTCTTAACAGTGATCCATGTGTGGCTGTCATTGCTCACCATGACCTTATAAGATGTTACCCAGTCACTCCTACAAGAAAAGGAAACATCATTGGTACTACACATGGTAAAATATTCACCTATTCCATGAGAGGTGTTGCGATAAGGAGAGTAGGTGCCAGAGGCAGAGAGTACTGGGTCAAAGCCTGGCCCCACCCCTTCCTAGCCGTGTAACCTTGGTGGCCTATCTATCTCTGCCACTGCTTTTTCATCTATAAAATGGGAATGAGAAGAGTATCAACCTTAAATTATTAATGTGAGTACTAAATGGTTTAATATAGATAAAGCACTTCGGACAATGCCTGGCACTTAGCGCTAACTGTTGGCCACACACAAGAAGATACACAAACACTTACGTATTGGTTTATATTGAACATCTACATCACACTCAATGCATACAAATTACATAGTTGTCGCTTAACGGAGTCCCAGGTAGCAAAATAATCTCAAGCAAGGATTACAAATTGGTCTAGAAATTTCATTTGGAAAACTCATTTGGGAATGTAACAAACTGGATCCAACCATACCACAAAAATAATAGCTTGTTTCTCTAACAGAGTGCTGTGTTTCTCCTTGGCTACCACAGCC